AGGGCTGAACTCCTAGGCGGGTGACCTGTGCATTTCTAGAGGCCTCGCAGCTCAGAATGGACCGAGTTCCTGGTTTAACGCTCTGCTCCCACCATCTTGAAATTCATAATAATTTTCTCCTTGAACCTGTGCTTTGTAAAGGAAGTCCAATGGGACAGTGAAGCATGTGTGTGAACAGAGAAGATACACCAGGTGGCAGGGAGCAGGCCCTGGCCAGCAAGTATGGCGATGGTGGGTAGCATGGGGCCGAGCAGTTGGCCTGGCCACCCAGTGTGCACCCACATGGCTGGCCAGTCTGGGATCTGTGCCCAGATTGGCAGCCGCAGAATATGGCTGCAGTCCACCAAAGCCATGGTCAGAGAAGGGACCCCCCCACCCTCCCATGGAAGAGCTCATCCAGTAGATCTACACAAATGTAAGCTCTGCAGCCTAAGTCTGGGACAGGAAGTGCCAGCTCTCGGGCAGGACACTGTCAGTAAATTACTACAAAACCAAAGCCTACACATGGACATTGCAATAAAGCATATCAAGGAGTTGTCAGTTCTTCAGAGTTTAGAATCCCTGTTGTTTTTTTTTTTTAAGATTTTATTTGTTTATTCATGATAGACCTAGAGAGAGAGAGAGAGGCAGAGACACAGGCAGAGGGAAAAGCAGGCTCTATACCGGGAGCCCGATGTGGCACTCGATCCCGGGACTCCAGGATCGCGCCCTGGGCCAAAGGCAGGCACTAAACCGCTGAGCCACCCAGGGATCCCCAGAATCCCTGATTTTGAAAACCTCTGCAACTTTGCAAAGCAAGTATTCAGAGGCTTAAGACTAGAACTCAAAGTTAAAGGTCACATTTTATAGAAAATAATTCTATTTTCATGTGAAGTTTGATTATTAATTGAGAAAGGCAATTTTAAAAGTAATTTTTCTTGTCATCAAAGATAGGGCAATAGGTGCTTAAACAGATTATTAAAATTATACACAAATTATGAAGTTGCTTTCAGTCCCCCCTGCCCAGAGGAGACCACGAATGCAGGCCTCCATTATTAGAAATTGTACATTTGAGTTTCCCACATTTCCTAAGTGCAGTGTGTGAGCCTCATCCCGCAAGAACCACCTTGGTGATCATTTAGTATCTCCTCTGCTAGGTAAGTATCACTTTCAGTTTCTTTCTTTCTTTTTTTTCTTTTTAAGATTTTATTTATTTATTTGAGAGAAAGAGAGAGAGGGAGAAGTATGCTCCTTGCTGAGCAGGGAGCCCGACGACATGGGACTCGATCCCAGGAACCTGGAATCATGCATGACCTGAGTCGAAGGCAGATGCTTAACTCGCTGAGCCCCCCAGGCACCCCTCACTTTCAGTTTCTTGTACAACTTCATAAGATACAAGGGTGCCTCGTGGCTCAGGTCATGATCCCAGCATCCTGGGATGGAGTCCCACATAGGGTCCCTGCTCAGCTGGGAGTCTGCTTCTCCTTTGGTCCCTCACCCTGCTGTGCCCTCTCTCTTGCTCTCAAATAAATAAATAAAATCTTTTTTCTTTTTAAGATTTTATTTGTTTATTCATAAGAGAAAGAGAGAGAGAGAGGCAGAGACACAGGCAGAGGGAGAAGCAGGCTCCATGCAGGGAGCCCGACATGGGACTCAATCCCGGATCGCCAGGATCAGGCCCTGGGCAGAAGGCGGTGCTAAACCGCTGAGCCACCCAGGCTGTCCCAATAAATAAAATCTTAAAAGAAAAAAACAACCTCACAAGATACAGAAAATGTGAGAGGAAATATTAAAATGTCACTGTATAGGGATTCCTGGGTGGCGCAGCGGTTTAGCGCCTGCCTTTGGCCCAGGGCGCGATCCTGGAGACCCGGGATCGAGTCCCACATCGGGCTCCCGGTGCATGGAGCCTGCTTCTCCCTCTGCCTGTGTCTCTGTCTCTCTCTCTCTCTCTCTCTCTCTCTCTCTCTCTGTGACTATCATAAATAAATAAAAAAATTAAAAAAAATAAAATAAAATGTCACTGTATAAACTTACTATAAAATTAATTCAGGCATATGTGAAATTGATTTTTCAAAGACTTAAATCTTTTGACAAATTGTTCCATAAAAATCATCAGCTCTAAATGTACTAATTATAACAAAATATATTTCTTTGCAACTTTAAGTTTATGATGTTACTCCTGTAACCCCTATTTCATTTGAAAAGGAATCAAATATTTTGAAAGGAAAAAAATTATTTTAGTACTCTGACAGCACTTTTTCTTTTTTCTTTATTGCTGTCTGTGAGTAGGCTTCACATCCAGTGTGGAGTTTAACTCAGGGGTTGAACTGAGGATCCTGAGATTAAGACCTGAGCTGAGATAAAGAGTTGGATGTTTCGCTGACTGAGCCACTCAGGGGCCCCTTTTTTCTACTTTTTGAATAAGAGGACCCCAAAATTACGTAGGGGCTCTGATTCTGAAAACTAGTTTTTTTTTTTTTAGAGGATTTTTATATTTCCCCAAATTATTCTGACTCTGTTAAAACACTTTCAGGCTGATTTCTGTCAAGTCCAAGAAATGGTCATCGTATCATCACGTTTTAAAAACCCACATCGGGATCCCTGGGTGGCGCAGCAGTTTGGCACCTGCCTTTGGCCCAGGGCACGATCCTGGAGACCCGAGATCGAATCCCACGTCGGGCTCCCGGTGCATGGAGCCTGCTTCTCCCTCTGCCTGTGTCTCTGCCTCTCTCTCTCTCTCTATCAAAAAAAAAAAAAACAAACAAACAAACAAAAACCCCACATCACAGGGTGCCTGGGTGGCTCGGTGGTTGAGCATATGCCTTCGGCTCAGGGCATGATCCTGGGGTCCTGGAATTGAGTCCTGCATCAGGCTCCTTGCGGGGAGCCTGCTTCTCCCTCTGCCTATGTCTCTGCCTCCCTCTGTCTCTCATGAATAAATTTTTTAAAATCTTAAAAATAAATCAATCAAACCCACATCACAGCATGGAGGGCTGGTCATCTTTGAGGGGCGCACCCTCCACTGTGATGTCCTCATCCCACTCTGGGAGTCATCTTCTCCAGCTAAGGCTCATTCTACTGAGTAGTCCCCACTTCCTAACCACCACTCCCCACGGCAGATCCGAGTCCTTTGGATTCAGATTTTAGTTTTTTAAGTCCTTTGGCAGGTAAGGTATGAGACAAGTACTTTGGTAACTTCAAAGTGGAGGAAATAGGTGAATGATGATGACACAAACAGAAAATGCAAATGGAGGGCGGTGTGACTGTTAAGTAGTAATAGTGATGAGGTGATAAGTCTTGTTAATAGTGATTGCACATGCGCTCAGCTGTCTGGTCGGCTCGCAATTGCGCTGGTCTTCTTGGAGACTGGCGGGGAAGGGGAACGTCGGGGAAGGGCTGTTACGGGTGAGGCAGCCTCCCAGCGGCAGCCGAGCTCATCACTGCAAGCAGTTGCAGCCCCCGGGGCCTCCTTAAAGCAAGAGGAGGGAGGCGGAAGCCAGGAGCACTGCAACTCCCCCTCTGCACTTTCTCCCAGAATCTCAGCTCTTCCGGAGTCTCCTCCAGGCTCCTCCCACTTCCTATGGACCAATCCTTTCGCTCCATCGTGGAGGGAAGCAATCTGATTGGCTTAGTCACGGAGGTGGGTGGGGCCTTTAAGCACCGCCTCGGCACCCGGGGCCTGTGACGCATCAGCCAATGAAGGGGCGCCCCGTAGATCGGATGCTCACCCCTGTCCAGTCGGAGGCCCCGCGGCGGGGACTAAGGCGGGACTTGCCGCCGGCCAGGGCGAGGGGGCGTGGCCTCGCTGTGACTGACAGGCCGTTACGGAGGCCGGGGCTCCTGGACTCCTCCGCGACCCACGCCACGCGGGCTCCCGCGCTTCTGCTGGGGCGTGGACCTCACACCCCGCTCCGCCCTCCTTCCTCAAGCCGTCGCTTACCCATCTGCTCTTGCCTTAAACACATCTAGGTTCCCTCCATTCTCCCTGTGCCCATGGGACCTTCCTGTCTGAACAACGGGCAGCAGCTTCTTGGTTGCCATCTGACCCCAGGAGTGGTCTTTTTCAAACACACACCGGGAGGTCATGTGCCCTCCAGTGGGTTCCACATCGCTGGGTCGGAACCACACCTCCTACGGCAGCCTCGAGGCCCTGCGTGGCAGAGCCCTGAGTCCCCGTGGCCTGTCCCCCCTCCTCTCCTGCCTCCCGCCTTCCACAAGGTCTTCCCGGGCCCGACACCCCCGCATTTCAGCTCCTCTCTTCGGATGGCTCCGCAGCCCACCCCCGTGCCACTGAACACCTGCTCATTGGAGAGAGCTCAGGTGAAGGGCCACCTGCTCGGAGGGTCTGTATCTGAGCCCAGGTCAAAACGGCACCTTCTGACGTTCTCAGCACTCGTCGCAACTGATGTTTTTGTTTGCATGTTGGTTTAACGTCCACGCGGCTGCTGGAAAACCATGTCTGTGAGGACAAGGGCTATCTACCTTACTCAGTGCTGACTCCTAGGGCTCAGTGCAGTGTCTGGATAAACATTGTGCCAGTTTAGGGCCACTACCTGTAAATAGTGTCCTGCAGGGACGCCTGGGTGGCTTGCTGTTGAGCATCTGCCTTCCACTGGGCATGATCCCCGTCCTGGGAAGAAGGCCCGCTTTGGGCTCCTTGCGAGGGATCTGCTTCTCTCTCTGCCTGTGTCTCTGCCTCTCATGAAAAAAAAAAAATCTTAAAAAAAAAAGTGTCCTGCAAACATATGCATACGTGTGGATGGTGGCTTGGGTGCTTCTGGGGATTGAGAGAAGGAGTGGGATAGTGAATGGTGACAGGGTATGTGTGTACATCTGTATGCTTGTGTGCACACACTTAAAGGTGGGGGGGGATCCCAGTGGCTTCAACTGTAGTGATTTTACTTGTATTGAACAATAATGAACAAATAAAGCATGTGACAGATCAGGGGAGGGAGGGAATGGGCCACCCCAAGCCACACGCATGAACAAAAACGTTGCAACACGCCGCAATCAGCTGGTGGGTTTGTCTTCACTTTATTACTATGTCACCAGAAGTCACCACCTTCACTTGGTTCACCACAAATGGACAGATGTCATAAAGGAGGGTGCCGCGGGGCCACTGGATTCACTCTTGAGACTTAACCAGGTGGTGAGGGAGTCCAGAGTAGGGGCCCAGGATGGGGACCACCATTCACTGCACGCACGCACACACACATAGATATAATTATGGAGCCTTATATTATACATCTTATATATAGAAAATATATATATTTATACTATACACAGGCAGTTACGCTGCGGGAGGGCAGGGACACCCAGACAAGGGCTGTGGGCACCAGGGGTTGGGGAGAGTCACACCAAGGGTTCAGCTCTGGGAGATGGCGGGATCAGCCCCTCCTCCCACAAACTCTTGGGAGGGGTGCTTCCCCTTCCTGCTCCTTAGAGAATCAAAGGGGTGTTGGGCCAAGGTTGGGGGGCCCTTCAGGGCTAACAAGTGGGGGCTCTTGGTTACATGGGGAAGCCTTGGGGGACCCCCAAGTCTTTGAAGATCAAAAACCACCAGGGAAGGTTGGAATAGGGGAGCGGATGCCAGTCCCCAGGGAATTAGTCATTGATTGTCACACCGCCAGGTACCAGAGGTCATATCCAGGCAGACAGCGGGTGACTGTGTAGGATGAGTGTTAACTCAGAGGCAGGAGACCTAGATCCCCAACCTCTAACTCGGTGCACGACTGTGGACAAGCGACTGTCTTCCCGGCCGACTCTACCATCTCTAAGGGTCCTTGCCGCTCTGAACTTGTGTGGAACCCAGTTTTCCTGGGCCCTCGCTTGTGCTTGGTGGAAGGAGGGAGCCCAAACTCGGCAAGTCAGGCCATGGGGGAGGGGGAGATTCTCCAAAAAAAGCCTTGGAAGCAAGGGAGAGGCAGAGGGAGGCAGCAGGTAGAGAAAAGAGGACACCATTGGCCCGCGAGCACAGGCTCTAAGTCTGGGGCCCCTGGGGGGCTGTCCTCAGCCAGTGGAAGCAGGACATCCCTACCGGCCGGCCTCCCGGAAGGGGCGTCAGGAGCCCTAGGTCTCAGCCGAATCCTGCCCTCCCACATCTCACACTCTCCGTTTCTCACTCCATCACTGGCTGGCCCCTGCCAACACCCTGCCTGATGGTGGGATCATGTCTGGGCTGTACCCCAGGTAGAGCGAGTAACACAAAGTGAGAAGATTCCGTGCCCCTCACTCCTGGCAGGGGTCCTATAAAGTCTCCGGGTCTGGGGTGGCAGGGAGAGTCTATAAGAAACACCCAGGGGTTGGGGGAAGCGTAAGTGGTACCCTGTCCCCCAGCTCAGTATCACGAGCAGCTGGTCCATTCCCAGGGAGAACCGACGGGCAGCACCCTGGGGTCTCCTGGTGTCCATCAGCAGGGGAGGTGTCTGATAGGGAGTGGGTGAGGGGAAGGACCGCTCTCAGCGTCCTGCGTGGGCACAGAACTCATTTTACCAGCAACACACCCACAACCGCCCACACCCTTCCCTGCTTCCAAAACCTGGTCTGGTACAGGTTCCATCCCATCTCCACCTGGGCCACGGGGGGGGGGGGGGCACCAGACACCACAGAGCCCCTTCCCCAGATGTGGAAAACTGAAGTCAACAACAACCAGCTGTTGCTCAGCTGTCTGGGGTTCTCTCCTGCTGCTGCTGCCCCTCGGGAGTCCTGGAACAGGCGTAAATTCAGATCCATGCTCCACTGCTAGCTCCTTAACACTCACTTCCTGAGCCTCAGTTTCCCCTTCTGTTAAGGGGAGGGATGCTACTTCTCTACCTAGGAAATTCTTTCTCCTTCCCTCACTGCTGTGCTGACTGCTACCCATCCTCCTGGCCCCTCCCAGGGGCGCCTCATCCTCTGCCCTCTGGTGGACCCTGGGTACAGTGGCTGGCATGGGGCTCATCTCTGTATGGCCAGCGAGCATCTCTCCAGAGTCCCTGGCACAGGATAGCTGCTGAGTCAACAGGCAAGTGTGTATCCCTTGCCTCGGAGGGTTCTCGGGGGCGGGGCACGGGGCGCTGGTGGTGGGAACATCCAGCACGGCGCCAAGCCGCGACCCCCTGGGGCTGGACAGTGGACGAGGGGCCCCGTGTCTCCCCACACCTCTCTCTCTAAGGTCTCCCCATCCCTTGAGGCTCAGGAAAGAGCCCACCTGAGCAAGAGTCCCTCCCTGCCCCCAACCGTCCTTGTGCCTTTGGAGACACCTGCTATCATCTCCACTGCAGCCTACCACGAGCCAGGGGCTCTCAGTGTTCATCCTGGGAGCAGTTTGTCTCACGGCAGCGGCTTGAAGGCTGGCCTTGCTGGCTCCAGAGCCCCTGCCCTCTCTGTTCTCATCAGGCCTCCTGGAAGGCCGGTGGAAGGCCCCTCTGCGTCCTTGGCTGTTCCAGCCCCTGAGCCCCCTGGCTACCCCTGACTGGGGGGAAGATGACACAGTGTCCCGGATCAGTTCTGTTTCCTGGGAGGTCACAAGAGCAGGGCAGGGAATTGGGCCACCTGCTGGGTGGCTGGAGCCAAGAAACCCAGGCAGTGAGCCCAGCTCTGCCACTTTGTTGCTCCCTGTTCTGGGCCTCCCCGTCCACCCAGCCCTGGGCAAGGACGATGGTCAGTCCTTTGGGAGGCCAGAAAGAGGGTGCTGAGCTCCCGGTTGGGCACGCACAGCCCGGAGCAAGACATGGGGAGACAAGCGAGTGAGGCAAGTCCCTTTGGCCTCCCACCCTGGAGGGGTTGAGGGAGAGGCTGGGGGGATGTGGGGAGGGGGCCTGGAGGCAGGGCTCTCCCACCATGGGGAGCAGCAGAACAGAACAGGCCCCTGGCTTGCAGCAGAATCAGGGTATCTCATGGGCTGAGGTCCCCAAGCTCTCCCAGAGTGACAGAAGCACTGACAGTGGAGTCCTGGGCTTGGGATGGGGAGGGCAGGGAGGACAGGGGCCAGCAGGTACTCTGCAGTCAGTCTTGGCCCCAACTCTATTACTGGCTGCCTGAGTGACCCTGGGCAAGGGGCCTTGACCTCTCTGGGCCTTGGTGTCCTCAACCATAAAATGGAGACAGCCCCAGCACTCGTAGTAGGACTGGGCAACAGCCCCAGTGTCCTGTACCTGTTCACATCTACCCTGGAGCCAAACCTTCCCAGCATCGTCCCAGTCTATCTTTCACACCAGTTCCCACCTCTGGTACCAGTGGGGCTCCTCTGTACCTCGCCTTCCCCATCCTGGGACCATCTGTCTCTCACCACTGGTGTCAAGCACATAGTGACACACAGTAGGCACTCGATGAATGCTCCATGACACAATCGATGAATGCAAACACCCCCAGCCCCTGCTGGACAGACTTGCACACACATGTAGACGCACCCCCAACACCTTACTGCCCCACCCCATCCTGAGCTGCCCTTGACCCCAGTGGAACAACCCAGAGGCTGCTGAAGAACTGGGCAGGGCAGCTTGGGAGGGAGCAGGGTCTGGGTGTGGGCAGGGGGAAAGGGGGGCTGGCGGGGGGCGGCTGGGACCGGGGCAGGGACAGGCGAGGGGTAGGTGGTCACTGCAGCTCAGTAGCCCTGCGACTGGTAGCCCTGGGGCTCAGTGTCAAAGGCGTTGGCCGGCTGCTGGTAGGTACCGCCCATGCCAGCAGGGTCTGGCCCGGCGCTGGGCTCCACGTAGGGGGCGTAAGGCATGCTGGAGTCCTGGCTGGGGTCCATGTAGTCCTGGGAGAAGAGGGCCGAGTCGGCGCCAATCTGGTACCGCTGGAAAGCCAGCACAGCCTGGCCCGCCTGGGGACGGGGGCCGGCGGAGACAAGGACAGACGGGAGGGGGTGGTTAGAGGAGAGACAAGAAAAGCGGGTTAGTGGCAATTAGTTCACAGGACACAGGCAATAGCGGTTAAATATCCTCGAAGCACCGAAGATGAAACCCAGCGGGACCCAGGGCCAGTCTGTCCTGCAGCCAGCCCTCCACACACCTGGAGCCACCCTGTCCATCCAGCCAGAAGGACCTTCAGAAGTCACCTGCCCCGTGTCCCCCATCCCCAGCAGTCACTACGCATCACTAAAAGTTCTTCGCTGTGGAGTGTAGCCCAAAGGCCACCACATCCTCCTCAAACTGTGTTCTCAGGGCTGTTATGTGGCACGGGGAAAAATATTTCTTGGTGGGACAGAGAATAGGTGGTATCTCCTCAAAGCCGGCCTCTCTTGCAGCTGGGTGTAACCACGTAACTAAGTTCTGGCCAGCAAATCGCCCCCAGTCCTTCGTCCTACCCTTTGGCCTGACGCCTGGAATGCAGATGTGGCAGCTAGAGCTCTAGCTGCCACCAGGGACCACGAGGTCCATGAGCCGAAATGTAGGGACAGAAGAGGCCCGGGTCACTGTAAAGACTTCTGGAGCCACTTGGCCAGTTCTGGGCTGTCTTCTCACACCTGGGCTTCATTTACACCGCAGCTACTTACAATTTCAGTCGCTGCTGAACTTAATTCTAACTGAAACACTTGGTCAAACAAGTTTGGGAGTAAAATAAGTTTTAAGACCATAGGACTTGTCAGAGCCTTGATTGATGCATGCTGGGATCCCCAAGGGAAAACTATGGCAAGCAGCATTTGCCAACCTTATCTGACCTGTAGGGGAAAGACTGGTCTACAGTGTATGTACGTAGGTGGGAAATTCTTTTTGAGGAACATCTACTACATTGTTATTAAGGATGATGATGACCACACCAAGCTAGGGAATAAATTTTAAAGCATAGTTTTTAGGTTTACATTGAAAGCCTTCTCCAAAGATCTTTTCAGCGGGTAATCCAAGATGGAAAGATGCTAATGCTCCACATACCCACTCTTGGGATGGGAGGACTGAGGCTCAGTTAAGGGAGGCCTCACGGCAGACTTAGTGCCAGAACCCAGACCTGAACACAGAGGTCCTGCCTCTTTCCAGGCCACAGCCCTCCTCATCTCCTTCCCTTTCATCAGACCCCTGAGAAGGCAATAAACCAACGAGGAACCCAAAAAGGCCATCTGGTGAGAGGCAGGAGAAGTGGGCTTGGCATTTTAATTCTAGAAAGTTCCAGAAGCCCAGTGACTAGGCACTGGCTTTTTATTTGTGTCGTTGGTAAAAGCTCTGAGCTCAGGCAGCCCTTCCTGAATGGCGGCCGTGTAAAGCAGTGCAGGAGCCCGAGAAAGGCAGATCAGGCGTAAAGGGGTCCAGCTGAGGAAATCAGGCTTCCCTTGGCTAGTCAGTGCAAGAGGCCACAAGAGCCTGGTAGGGGCTGGGGGGCAGGGGACCCTGCTGGACAGGGGTGCAAAGGGGAGGCTGGGAGTTCTGCTCAGAGCCCAGGGACCTGGTGGTGCGCCTGGCCTCGCTTCTTCAGAGCAGGACATACTCCCCCATGCAGCAAGCCGTCTGCACTTGTATGCCTCTAGTGTTAGGAAGCTCACTCTCTTTGTAGGTCGCCCTGGGGGCCTGTTGCTCTCATACCGCCTCAACTCCTGCAGAGAGTGGAGGGATAGGAGCTTCCCGCCCGCCCAGGCAGCTGGAGGCTATGTAGAATTGGGAGGCCAGAGTCTTTTGGAAGAACCAAGACTCATGGCATGAGAATTGCCCCCAGAGTAGGGATTATGGGAGTGTGTCTGACTCCTGGGAATAAATGAATGCATGAAAGAACTACATTTATTGAGCATCTCTGTGCCAAGCCCTGTGCCAGCCTTTGTTTCATCCATGCGATAGCCCAGAGAGGTTGGTCCATCAGGTAGTGGACTGTGCTCAGGGATGTGGGGTTTGCCTAGGGTCACACAGCATATGAGAGCAGAGCCAGGTGAGGAAGCCTCTGACGTCCTCGGCCAGGCCTCCCTTAGCAGCTAGCCTCCATGGGGACCGTAAGGTCAACCTTCACGCTGCAGCAAGGGACTCACACTGTGTCTGCAGTCAGCACCCTGGCAGCCCAGAGATGAGCCACCTCCAACCCTCCAATAGCCCCCGGCAGTCTGTTTGAGGGGAAATTTTGTTTGTCTTCCCCTCTCTGGCCTGTGGGCTCCTGGGGCCAAGGACCCCGTCTGATTCATCACTAGGCACAAAACAGCTCAATAAATGTTTACTGAATGAATGGACAGGTGAAACATAAAGGAGGCAACAGATGAGTAAGTGGCGACTCAGAACTGGCTTCACAGGCCAGCCTTCCCCTGCGCTGCACGCCCTGATTCTGGCTGCTCCAGGCAGCAGGCCACCCCCACACCCTGCCACTGGGCATGATACAGGGCGGCCCTGCCTCTGGAAGCCGGGCAGGCCTATGGCTGTGCCGAGGTGGGAAACAGTGTGCTGTACTCCTCCTGGAAGGTAAGGTCCTTGAATCTCCGTACGGCCAGGGCTGCAGTCAGGCTCTGCCAGGAGAGAGCAGGGGTGAGGCCAGTGGGGAAGGGCTGGGGAGAGGCAGATGTGCCAGCGGGGAGGCTGGGTTCGGTGGCCAGTGGGCTCCTGTCAGGCGGGCTTTGGGACCTGCCCCTGGAAGTCCTGATGTCCAATCACCCACTCCTCCTTTGTGAACCCACCCCCACCTCAGGGCTCACAGCTCCAAACCTGTCCCTGCAGGGCTGGGTGGGCTGGGTGGTCCCCACACAAGGACACCTTCCCTGGTCTGAGATGCCCTGGGGTCACTGGATTCCTCCAGCCCAGCCTTGAGGACACGGGGGTGGGAGGGTGGGGGTGGGGAGGAGGGGTGCTGGTATGACCACAGCTGGTGAGCTGGGGCCTGAACCACAGGTGCTCTCCAGATTCCAGCTCCTAATATTACATGGGGTAGGGGGGTGCCAAGAGAAAATGGATTTTCAGGGGCCCTCAGAAAGAGCAGGAAGTTGGGCAGCCCAGGTGGCTCAGCGGTTTAGCACCGTCTTCAGCCCGGGGCGTGATCCTGGAGACCTGGGATCGAGTCCCACATCCAGCTCCCTGCGTGGAGCCTGCTTCTCTCCCTCTGCCTGCGTCTCTGCCTCTCTCTGTCTCTCTCTCATGAATAAATAAATAAAATCTTTAACAAACAAACAAAAAAGAGCATGAAGTCACTGCAGGGCAAGCCCTGGAGGGCAGGGGGACAGGGAGGGCTGGCTGTAGCTCCCTTTGCAGGATGGGCCCCAGGGGCTCCTCACCACAGGTGGCACCTAGGACTGCCGGAAGGCCTGCAAGGAAGGGGGAAGCCTTGGGATGGGGGCCTGGAGCCAAGGTAACCCCAGATATCTGCAGGAGGGAGATGATAAGAGAATACATCAAGGCGGCCTGGAACCAGTGGGGAAGGGGCCCAGCCTGGTCCGGAGCCTGCAGAGGGGAAGAGGTGCCATCTGGCCAGTTGGGCTCAGAGACATTCTTTGACCCACACAGTATTTTTTTTTTTTTAACTTGAATAAATTACTGATACATAAAGATCAGATTTCACACAGAAATTCAGACTTCTGGCTTCTCTGGAAAACAGGAGACCTGGCCTGTGTGGATCCCCATTTCTGCTTTGGGACAGGGGCCGAGGGTGCCCTTTGTTGGGGTAGGTACCTGCCACCTGGCCCACTCATCATTCCTCATGTGCTGCCCACCTGCCCCGTGGGCATCTGAGTTTGTGACACCCTCCCTCCCCAAATTCAATCTCCTGATTTTACAGATGGGAAGATGGAGGCCACCCCACGATGTGGCCCAGGTTTCCTGACGCCTAGGCCTGGGCTCCTTCCCAGCCTCGGAACTGCAAAGCCATATCTTCCCGTCTGGGTCCCTGCTTGTGTCTGTAACAGGTTATAGAAAACGCCCACGATCCAACTGCCAGAGTGGTTGGGAGGGACGTTCGTGATCACTGGAGGGGTGCTATGTGCCAAAGTGAGGGTCTACTGGCCCTAGGTGACTGTCCTTGCTGGCACTGGCAACAGCCTCCTTCCTTAGGAAGCAGCTCATGTGAGTGTCAAAGAGAGAAACGGGGGCCGTGTGGGCCCCAGGAAGCAGAATGGAGTCCCCAGCTCAGCTACCAGGCCACCAGCTCAGGACCCTAGCTGGGGTGGGCGAGTGCGGGTGTATGGTGGGGCGGGCCGTGTACTCACCCATGTGAAGATGGAGAAGAAGGAGAAGGTGATGGCGGCTCGGGCCGCATCTGTCCCTTCATTCATCGGGTTGTCCTTGGGCTTGGACACCTGCCACTGGTTGGCCAGGAAGCAGAAGCCCACAAACCAGAGGAAGGCCCAGAAGGCTGGGGTGTCCACCGGGCCCAGGCAGAAGGGGCCAGGTGTGAGAGAGGGTGAGTGGGGAGGAACAGGGAGAGGTTCGGGAGCACGTCTCCCATGCTCCCCAAACCCCAAAGGGAGAGGCAAGGGCAGGGATGGGGCAGAGAGGGGAGCAGAGGGAAGGTGGGTCAGACGCAGAGTGGGAGAGACGGCACAGAAAGGGGCCGGCCGTGCAGACAGCAAGGCCAGGAGTAGCCCCGGGGAGAGCCAGAGGCAGTGAGGGGAGGGAAGGCAGGAGAGACAGAGAAAAAAAGTCAGTCAGCTTGGGCGGGCATTTCTGTCATCTCAGCCAAACACAGATTTCCCAGCTGAATCCCTGCCTGGGGACCGCAGACCACCCTGCAGCAGTCTGGGAGGAGCTCAGATCTGAGGCCCCGGCCCACCCACCCACTGCAGCCTTCCAGAGAAGTGGGCAGAAGGAGGCTGCGGGGGGTGGGGGGGTGTCTGAGCACTGCCTTCTGTGCCTGCAGCCTCTCAAAGTCCAAAGCCCGAGGTTAGGGAGGGACCTCTAGAGCCGAGGCCTGGGGAGTTTAGCAGGGGGAGGTTCGTGGCAATATCTGTGGGCACCCAGAGTCTCCCCAGAGCTGCTCAGATAACGTGTGTGCCAAAGGGCTGGGGTGTCTAGGGCCCAACATCTCCCACATGGGCACTGCTGGGGAACCCAGCAGCTCCGTGGAATACACTTTGAGAACCATTCGTGTCATTCTAGCTTTCCAGTCTCAGGGACTGGCCTCACTGTTTACAGTCAGCCAGGCTCATCCTGAGAGTCTCAGGCCCGGTACTGGGGGTGTGTGTGGGGTCCCAGCCAGAGACGTGAGACCCGAGACCTCCCTGCCCCTCAACCAAAGCACCCAGTGATGATCAGACTCTCAGAACTCGCAGGGACAGAGGTCGGGTCATCTCTGCCAAAGGCTGTTTCCGTAGGACAGGGGCAGCAAGTCATGTCAGGTCCCCACCCTCCCTGGGCCTGGACAGCGCAAGGCCAGCAGCCCTGCGTCACTTGTCACGTGGTTCCCCCGAGGTGGCCCAGGCCTCTGAAGGGCAGGAAGCCATGTCCCCTCCCTGCTGGGGAGCCGAGGGCTGTTCCAGGGACTCGGGCCAACCCCCGCTCCCCCCACTCCCTGCTGCCAGCCACGTGACCCCCGCCGGTCCCCTCACCCACCTGCGCCTCCTCATCTGGAAAGCGGGAGAATGCAGGTGGGAGGACAGCCCGCGGCAGGCTCTGCGGGGCCAGGGGGCGCCCACTGGGGCGGGGGACTCACCTGAGACCCCAATGTCAGACAGGACGGCCTTCTTGCGGTCCTTGACACTGCTGATCTGAGGGAAGTACACGTCCAGGGCCAGGTAGAGCAGGCAGGTGAGGAAGGCGAGCACGCCCACGGTCACACCGTAGCTGCAGGCGCTGGGGTTGCGGTTGTAGATGCAGAACGTCTCACCTCCCGAGTTGCTGTTGAGGTAGCCCTCGTTCACGATGGAGCCGAACACCACGATGGAGAACACCTGTCAGGGTGGGGACAGGCCAGGCCGGGCTTGGAGAAGGGTATACGGTTGGGCAGCCTGCTGCCTGCCCTGACCCTTGCCCCAGTGAGCCCTCTTCACCCCACATGGCCACAGGGCTGCAGTTAAGCAGGCATTTCAGCGGGGAGGCTCAGAGAAGGCAGGCGACTCGCTTAGGGTGGCACAGCACAGGAGGGGACGATCACCTCCTTCCTCAGCCTTGGGCACTAAGGACCCTCTGAATACAGGTCCGGCCCTACTGCTCCCCCACCCAGGTCCTGAGAGGTCTTCCTGCACCCTGACACCAAGATTCCTCCGGGACTGGACCTGGCCTCCTGAGTGGTGTCATGCCCTTCTGGGAGATGGACCTGCCCAGCCCCAGCCTGTGCTCCCCACCCCTCTGTGGAGCCTCAGATCCTGTCCCTGGGTCCAACTCTTCCCTGTTGCCCAGGCCCTGCAAATGGAAGGTGTGATAAATGAACAAGTATCACTAGGGATGCCTGGGTGGCTCGGTTGGTTGGGCATCTGACTCTTGATTTCTGGTCATGAGCTCAGGGTTGGGAGATTGAGCCTCACACTGGGCTCCCGGGGGCTCAGCCAAGAGTCTGCTTCAGATTTTCTTCCTCTGCCCCTTCCCTTGCTCATGTAATCTCATGTGCACGCACGCACACTCTCATGCACGTGCATTCTCTAAATAAATAAATAAATAAGTAAGTAAATAAATAAATAAGTCTTTAAAAAAAAAAAGTAAGGGCGCCTGGGTGTCTCAGTTGGTTAAGCCTCGGACTCTTGATTTTGGCTTGGGTCATGATCTCTGGGTCCTGGGATTAAGCCCTGTGGCCAGCTCTATGCTCAGCAGAGAGTATGCATGGAGTTTTCTCCCTCTGCCCCTCCCACCACTCATTCTTGTTCTATCTCAAATAAATACATTAATTTTTTAAAAAAGTAACACCAGTCACAATCCTGCCAATTACAAAGTGACGTGCACTATCCCCACTGCGGTGCAGGTGGGACCTCAGTTAACTCAACAACCCTCTGTGACAGGTCTATTGCAGCTGGGTAGGCAGCCAGACAAGATGGCTCCGGCTCCCAGACTTCACCACCCGGTACTCACACCCTTGTGCAACCTTCTTCCCCTTGAGTGTGAGCTGGGCCTTGTGATTCACTCCTAACCAACAGAATATTGCAAACAAGTGATGGATAACATCTCTGTGAGGAGATTACAAATACTTTGGCTTCCACCTTGCTTACCCTATCTTGCCACTCCCTGGTTGCTCACTCTAATGGAGGAAGTGGCCATGTTTTGAGCCGCCCTATGGAGAGGCATGGAACGTGGCATGGAACTGAGGGAGGCCTCCAGCCAATAGTCAGCAGGGAATGGAGCCCCTCAGCCCATAAGGGATTGAGTCCTGCCAGCACCACATAAGTGAAGTTGAAAACGGATCCACGCTCAGCCTTCAGATAAGACCACAGCTCTGGCTGACAACACCCTGTAACTCATGAGGGACCCTGTGGCAGTCACTGAGCAGGTGCTGACATCAGAAACTAGGAAATGGCAAGTGTTTGTTGTTTTAAGCCACTTCATTTTGGGATGTTTCAATATACAGCAACAGTTAACTAATCCATCAGTATCATCGACATTTGGCAGATAAGACAGTTAAGGTGCAAGTATTGATTAATGTTACCAGAGTCATAAAAACTGGTAAGTTTTTGGAGTCCAGGGCACAGATCCTAAATTTCAGGTTTTGGGGTGCCTAGGTAGGTCAGTCGGTTAAGCCTCTGACTTTGGCTCAGTTCATGATCTCAAGGTCCTGGGATCAAGCCCCATGTTGGGCTCCCTTCTCAGTGGGGAGTCTACTTGTCTCTTTCCCTCTACACCTCCCCCTGCTGTGTGTGCTGATCATAAGAGAGAGAGAGAGAGAGTGCACAAGCAGGGTGGAGGGGCAGAGGGAGAAGCAGACTCCCCACTGAACGGGGAGCCTGACATGGGGCCAAATCCCAGGACCCCAGGATCATGACCTGACCCAAAGGCAGATGTTTAACCAGATGAGCCACCCAGGTGCCCCTAAATAAATAAAATCTTAAAAAAAAAAAAAAAAGTTCATGCTTTCTCCTCCTACCTTTCTCCTCCCCTGAAACTGAGGGTGACGAGGCCCAGACTCAACAAGTGGAGCCTCGGGTGTGTCCTGGGGATTTTTATTGTCTGTTTTCACTTCTTTGTATTTTCCAATTTTGCTAAAGTAAGAAACTACCATTTCAGGCCCATTTTCATCCTCAGCTAATGTTCACGATAGGCAGTAACTCTGTCGCAGGTGTGGGGAAAAAATATGAGAAGCATTATTATTTTTTGAATCTCATCCTCCCAAGATGTCTTTATTTCTTTTTTTTTTTTTTCAGATGTCTGTATTTCATGTGGGTTTTGTAACATACTGGAACTGCTGGTATAGTAGTGACGTATATAAAACAAAAACGTCTATATTTAACACAAGGGTTGATTCAAATGTTTTTTTCCTAAAGTAGACATGACCAAAAGTTTGGAGACCACTGGTTCATGACACTGTATGTTAAGAAGAAGTCTAACACAAATTCAGCACCCACGCTGTCTCATGGCCACCACTGCCCACGCCAACCCAGCCCCTCCTCGTTCCCCTGGGTGCCGCTTAGCCCCCAGTGGGTCTCTCGGCTTTTTTTTTTTTTCTCGGCTTTCAATGTAACCCTCCAAAGAAGAATTCTAACCCAAATGTCCATTGATGGATGAATGGAGAAACAAGTTGTGGTATATCCACATAATAGAATAGTTTTCAATCATTAAAAAACAAACAAACAAACAACAAAACACATGCAAGCTACAACTGGATGAACCTTAAAACAGGTGAAAAAAAAAGAGGCGAAAGGAGTCAAACACACAAGGTGGATGTGACATGACTTCTTTTAAGTACTGTGACTTTAATCGGCAAAACAGAGACAAAAAGCAGACCAGAGGTTTCCAGGGCTGCAGGAGGGGAAAATGGGGAGTGATTACTTAATGAGCATGGGGTGTCTTTTATTGGGTGATGAAAAGTTCTGAAACTAGAGAGGGGATAGTTGCACAACACAAATGCTACTGAGCTGTGCACTCTCAAATGCGTGAATTTTTCTGCGATTAAAAAAAAAAAAAGGTTAAGATTGTGGGGCTGTGTCCTAGTTCAATCACAAGCATGCAGGTGGGCCACGGTGGCCCGAGCCACACTTCTGCCAATCCAGACCTGAGTGTGTACGCACAGCCACAGTCCAGCCCCATGCAGGCATGCTCGCTCTCAGCGTGGCTCCGTCACAGGCTCTGCGTCCTCACAGTCACCCCAGCAAGTGCGGAGGGCAAGTCGTGCAGCTGGGAGTTGCTGGCTGTAGGAAAACTGATTCTCGGAAACAGTAGGTGGCACTGTTGTCAGCTGTACAGGCTGAACTTGAACCCCAGCGCCGGCTCTTGGGCCTGTGCTCTTTCCCACCTGACCTGCTGACGCTCAGCCTTAGGACGTGGGCCCTGAAGGGAGGGTAGTCTTTCCAGCCACCTGAGGGGCCCTGACTTCACAGCAATTGTCTACGGGATTCCTGGGCTCCTGACAATCTGGACGAGCAAGGCAGATGCTGGACACCAGGAGAGGAAGGCAGGCTCTGATGCCCAGTTGCCCGACCTGTGCACAGCACAACTCCCAGACTGCCACTCACGCAGCCCCTTGGACCTGTGCACCAACAGAAGTCCAAGGTTCCTACCAGGAACCTGCTAGGTCAGAAATTTGAGAACCAGCTCCAGGTGTCACCGGACATCCCCAATCCAGCAGAATGGAAAAGCCTCTTGATCAGAGGGCATTCCAGACACTGGAGGAGTCACACAGGGTTGCTGGAGTCAAATCCTAGGCCTGCTGCTTATGCTGTGAGGCCTCATGCAAGTGACAACCTCTCTGAGCCTCAGATTGGTCCTCTGCAAAAATTAACTTTCCCTGCAGGGCCACTGGAAGAACCACAAGCAAGTACCCTGAGCAGTGCAAGGGTTAACTCCTTTTTCAGGAGGCCTCAGGAAAGGAAGAGCACCAGGGAGACCCTCTGAGCAGCACTTTCCGACAGACTTGCTCCATCAGGGTGGGAACAAGCATGGACCCCCCTGCAGGCCAGAGGAGGTGGGAGGGGAGGAAGCAGGCGGGCGGAAGTCAGGGCTTTGGGGACAGCAGAGGAGGAACCATTAAGACAGGGCCCTCTTGGGAGAGAGAGAAGCAGGGAGTCCCTGGAGAGGCCAGGAGGCTCGTGCTGGAGAGAGTGTGTCCCCAGGAGGGTGAGCAACAAGATCGCAACATCCTCCAAGGAATCGGAGGGGCAGGTGTGTGCCAAGGTCAGCACAGAGAGAGGACGCTCTGTGCCAGCTCTGGTTCTCCTCCCCATCCCATGGTTCGGGCACACAGGGCACTCTGTGGTCAGGCACTCCTCGCGGGTCAGTCACCTTGGGCAAGTGACTTGCCTTCTCAGTCCCCTCATCCATAAGGCACGGCAACCAGAGCACCTAAACCACTGGCGTGCTGTGAGGAATGGATGAGGTCACACGTGTGTGGGCCTGCATGCATCAGGGAGTCAGCGTCCCCAAACGCCAGCCTGACACTGAACAAGCGGAACATATAATGAAGCACCGGCAGTGGTGATGCAGGGAGGGAGGAGGCAGTGGTCAGGGAAGGGAGGCGAAGCAGCAGTTTTTGAGCACAGATGAGAAGCAGCCAGCCTTGCCAAGATGAGGGGAAGCGTGTTTTGGGCAGAACAGAAAAGGCCAAAGCCGAAGGTGGAAGAACCCGGCCGGAGCCGGTGACCAAGGAGTGGGGTTGGAGAGGTGCATGACCGGGGAGGGAGGGAGGGAGGGTATGTGGGGGGGTGGGGGACTGGGCAAGGCCGGGTGGACCACAGTGGGCCACAGATACAGTCTGAGCTTCCAGGGCTGGCGGTCAAGGCCCCGGGTGTACGGCCCCCCTGCTTCTCCTGGGCCT